TCGCGCGTCAGAATTTTACATCGGACGTCTCACGCTTCGCGATGCAAAAACACGAACGTGGACCATTGCAGATGCGAGACTCGGTGCCGCGGCTGATAAGCCTTAGTAGGGTTGTTTGAAAAAAAACTGGCGGTGGGGGTTTTCCGTGCTCTTGGAGAGGAGCCCGGGCAGAAGCCCTATTATTTAACTACCCCAGTAGATGAAGATGAAGAAGATGGGAAGGAACAGCTGAGCGCTGAGCTCTCCACAATGACCAATCTGGTCAAGGGCGCGAAGAAAAGGACCAAGGAAGAAGATGAATAAGATGGAAAGGAACAACTAAAGGGAGAGAAATTGTTAAAGGATGCCATGAAAGCACCACATCCCACAGAGGCAGAAAACTCAAAGAAGAAAGAAAAGGTGAAGATGAAGCTGCCATTCACCTTTCACCTACACCGGTAAGAAGGGAGAGAATCTACTGCTGTGGATTGTAGAGATTCAGACCAATAACTACCCCAGTAGTGGCGTTCACCACCTCATGTCTTGGTGAAGATGCCGGGGCATGGGTACTGTCCAAAGCGAACACCGCTGGGTTTGAATTAATTGGGGATTTGGCAAAGACACTGAGCTAAAAAGAAATTTTGAAGAAAGTCAAGGAAAGATTTCTGGGTAAAACAACAGCAGACAAGGGTTTTGATGAACTTACCTCCATAGGGCAGCAACACTGGACGTCCGTCGAGGCATTGCCCAGGGAAGTACATAAGTTATTGTAAGTCCCTCATCTGAACATCCATGATGACCAGGTACATTACACCCGCACACTTCCTGAACCCATACAGGGGCAATTGGTCACCGAGGCCAAATCAGGTAAGTATACATACGATCAGTTTCATGATCTTGCATTGCTGCGGGAGCAGATGACCTCCGAGGTGACAGGCACGTTTGCTGGTGCAGTAAAGGGTGGGCAATCTAGTGGGACAGGGAAAATAATTTTGTGGACACAAAAACGGCAGGACGACTTCCTTCTTGTTCTTGACGATGAGAAGCTGGAGAGGTGGCCCCTAGAGGGAAACGAGGGTGAGCAAGGCAGCAGCAGCGAGTCTGGAAAGTGTGACGTCACTGCTGTAGTGGCCAGCAAGGGAGGCTCGGTTAGTAATAAAGTATAGAAGAAGAGGCCCCGCTCCTTTCCAACGCATCCTGGCATAGCCTCAGGGAGGCCATGGGAAAAGATTGGCATATCCCAAAAGGAATGGAAGGAGCGCATGGACAATCATCAATGCCTCAAGTGTGGCACTGAAGGACACATCATAGCGTGCGTGGTGTCGTCTTATAAGGAACCCAAAAGGGAGCAGCCAGTAGAAGTAGCATCTGCTCCTACAACCTTTCTCGGCCTTTTGGCTAAGATCAAGTGTAGTATCTGTTCTGATCAGTTTAATATCTGATCCGTGGTCCATCGGGCCACAAAAAAAAAAAAAA